CTTGGTAGAGTTCTTGCCTTGCTTGTATGAATCCCTGGGTTCACTCCCTGGCAAAACACATAGCACCTTGGCTGAAGTTTCTAGATTGCTTCAACTGAGACCAAGACACACACACACACACACACACACACACACACACACACACACACATGCACACGCACACACACATGCACACAGTTGATGTAAACCTTGGGGAATTCTGGGGCTTGGGAAGTGACTCAATGGGCTGGAGCTATGCTGGAGGCCTGGTTCTAATCTCGCCACCACCCAGACCCTAGTACTGCGGAGAGTCACCTCTGAGTATAGAGACAGGAGTAGACCCTGAGCACTTCCTGGCCAGAAGTTCCCCACTCCACCCTAACATTCTATTACAGTGGAGGTTTTATAGAATAACCTTTCTGTAAAAGCATGCAGGATTTAAATGAGAGAATTTCAGGAAAGGATCCTTTATCTACCTATATCTAGATATTAGTTTGGACGCTTGTTTATGCAGATGAGCAATATATAAGCACTATCTGTGTTAGGTTGTCTTTATCATTCTCCCACTAGCCTCACCATGTGTTACTCTGCTGTAAGTCCTTGACCCAGCGAATAAGGTGGCTGGATCAAGAGCACGGCCCAGACCCACTGAAACCCGAGGTCATGCTTTTACTCCTTCTTTGCAGAAGTCCGTTTTACAGTGTCCCTTTTCAAAGGAAACGTCAAGTCGTCTAGCAAGTGAAAAATAATTGTGACAGTGCCATGGGGATCTGTCAGGCCCTGGGAGCCTGTTATCTGCCTCCACCACATGAGCACAGCTGGCCAAGGGGTGCAGGGCCTTCCGGGCTGGGAAGCACGCAAGGCCAGTGGGCGGTGCAGAAGGGGGCACTGAGAAACACTTTTCTTTCCCATCGAAAAAAAACAGGATCTGAAAGTAATTCATCACCCTCTGCACGTCTTTAGTTTGTCTACAGCAGCGCTTCCCCAAGTGAGTAATTCTCCACACCCCCCTCCCAACACACACACACACACACACACACACACACACACACACACACACACACCCAGAGTGGGGCAGCTGGAATGATGCAGTAGTATGGCAGCTACGGCGCAGCTGAGGGACAGTTTAGGTTTGTTTGCTTGAAGAAGGTATTTCCTGGGGGCTGGAGCTATAGCACAGTGGGTAGGGTGTTTGCCTTGCATGCGGCCCACCCGGGTTCGATTCCCAGCATCCCATGTGGTCCCCCAGCACTACCAGGAGTAATTCCTTCGTGCAGAGCCAGGAGTTACCCCTGTGCATTGCCGGGTCTGACCCAAAAAGAAAAAATTGGTATTTCCATGGCAGGAAATTTTCTTTTCTGGAAAGGGGGCCGTAGGCCACAGAAGTCTAGGCACATCATGTCTACAATGGAAATCACTTCTGCCCTTGAAGAGAGATTCACTTACCCAAGGCACCATAATCTGTTGAGTACAGCAGGTAGGGCATTTTACCTTGTATGAGGCTGACCCAGGTTGACCTCTGTTACCTCCTGTGAAAGCCCTGAGGCTCATTAGGAGTGAGCCCTGAGTACAGATCCAGGAGTAAACCCAGAACACTGCTAGATGCCCCCCCCCCAATAAAATCAATAAAATAAAGTCTCAGACAGTGTACCTCAAAGGTCAGTGGGGTAGAGTGGTATTGGCATAGGGATTGACATAAGAAACGTTTGGGTGACAGAATAGAGGTTAGAAATAGACTTGAATTTTCTGATGGGAAGGCGAGGTAATGCATTGGAGAAAACTCTCCTTTTCTGCAGACTGCTGAAACAACTGGTGTCCTTGAAGGGATGAGGGGTGGGGCAGGACACTGAACCTCAGTTCTACTCTTATGCCCTACAAAAAAGTAAATAGAGTAGATCATTGTAAAACCTAGAACTGGGAGGAGCTTCAAGGGAAGTTTTGGTGATATCTTCTCTATCTTATTTGCTATGGTAGTTGCCACAGTACATAATGAAATATTCGTATAAATTTATGTTTAATTTGTACAAGTGTGGCTGGAGCGATAGCACAGTGGGTAGGGCATTTGCCTTGCACATGGCCAACCCAGGTTCAATTCTTCCGACCCTCTCGGAGATCCCGGAAAGCTACTGAGAGTATCCTGCCCGCACGGCAGAGCCTGTCATGCTCCTTATGGCGTATTCAGTATGCCAAAAACAGTAACAAGAAGTCTCACAATGGAGGCATTATTGGTGCCCGCTTGAGCAAATTGATAAACAACGGGAGGACAGTGCTAGAGTGCTTGTATAAGTGTATATACATTTGTTTAAAATCTATACTGAAATGTGCACTTATTATTTTTTGTTAAGTATAACTCAGTGAAATGACTTTAAAGAAATCCTATTTATCACTTCCTTGCTTAAATTTTTCCTTATAAGGGACACGAGATAAAATCGAAACTCCTAGCTCTGTTTTTCAAAGCCTGAGGTGATCTGGCCTGTCTTCTGTGCCTCATCCTGTTTGTTCCCTCCCTGGTTGTTTGCTGATTTCAAAACTTCCCCCTCCAGGTCTCTTCCTTATCCTGGTGTAGTTTTTCAGTGCTCTCAACATGGTACTTGTTGGCTTTCCTCTGCAAAACTATAGGTTTTATTTTTCCATTGTGGGGTCATACCTGGAAGTGCTCAGGGATTACTTCTAGTGGGGCTCAGAGGACCAGGCTGGGGTCCCAGTGATCAAACCCACATTGGTCTATCTGCTGGACCATCCCTCCAGCCCCAGAGGTCTAATATGTAACAGGAAGGATGTCCTCTACCATGAGTTCTAGAATAAGGCCTCCTTATTAGTAGCCCAGCGGGTAGGGCGTTTGCCTTGCATGAGGCCGACCCAACCAACCCAGGTTCGATTCCTCACTCTTGGAGAGCCTGGAAAGCTACAGAGAGTATCTCACCCACATGGCAAAGCCTGCCAAGCTACCCATGACATATTCGATATACCAAACACAGTAACAAGAAGTCTCACAATGGAGACGTTATTGGGCCCGCTTGAGCAAATTGATGAGCAACGGGACGACAGTGCTACAGTGCTACTAGTAGATGCCCACTAATTTTCTAATAGGAGGAGCTCAGATGCTCCAGCAGGGCAGAAGCTTCTAAGGTGGCTACAGAAAGGAACAGCACTGGGTTTGGAGTTGCAGAGGGAAGCTGGGGCACAGGAGAGAGACAGGGACATCCACACCATTTGTAGAAAGGACGCGGGGAGAGGAAGCCAAGGCATCCTCTGGGAGAAAAGAACCAAACGAATCCAAACAGTATTAAGGGAGGCAGAACCCCCAGGTATTTCCTGAGCAGCCCAGGAGGGCACCGGGGTAGCGTAGATGGGGTGCTGGGATACAGAACAGGTTGAACAGATGAATTAGAACTTTTACACCACAAGGCAACCTCTAGCCCCACTGCACCCCCAAACCCAGAGACAGCCAGCCTGGCTACTGTGAAGGATCCAGTGAACCCTCTGTGTCCCGGCACGAACCCCTTTCTTGCTGGAGGGAAGCTTTACCCCTTGGTGCCCTGGAACCCTGTAGGCTGCCAGAAAGGTTGCAGCCAGGAGCACCCAGGAAGTCAGCCCCACCTCACATGCACCTCTTTCCTGCTATGGCACCTCCGAAACTGGTGAAGTACTGGCTGAGCTGTGAAGGAACCCCAAGAAGCATACCCCCTAATTTACAGTAGCATAAAGTTATGGGGGAGAGAATCCATCCCTCGTCCCCTGGAACACCCAAACTACTGGAGCCCCACCAAGGGGTCTCAGCCCTGCCTCCGACCTTAGCTGTGGGCTGAACATTGAACCTGGGGCAGCTATGTACAAGGCAAGTCCCCTACCTGCTGTGCTATTGTCCCTGTCTTTTTTTTTCCTCTTTGGGTCACACCCAGCGATGCATACGGGTTACTCCTGGCTCCAGCATTCAGGAATTACTCCTGGCAGTGCTCAGGGGACCATATGGATGCTGGAATTGAACCCGAGTCAGCCACGTGCAAGGCAAATGTCCTACCCGCTGTGCTATTGCTCCAGCCCCAAGCCCCTGTCTTTTATATATTGTAAAATATGAGTCTGTGAAAAGTACCATTTAGTGTTTGGAACAACTGAATTTATAAATTGCTTAAATTCAATAGGTTTGTATTTTAACTGGGTTTTGTTTGCCTTGCACGCAGCCAACATGGCTGACCCGAGTTCGATTCCTCCGCTCCTCTCGGAGAGCCCGGCAAGCTACCGAGAGTATCTCGCCCGCACGGCAGAGCCTGGCAAGCTCCCCGTGACGTATTCGATATGCCAGACACAGTAACAACAAAGTCTCCAATGGAGACGTTACTGGGCCCGCTTGAGCAAATCGATGATCAACGGGAGGGCCTTAACTTTTTACTTTACTTTATATATTCAGTATATGTATATTATTTAGGTTTTTTTGGGGGGGTCTTTTTGGTCACACCCGGCAATGCACAGGGGTTTTTTTTGGTTTATGCAGTCAGGAATTACTCCTGGTGGTGCTCAGGGGACCATATGGGATTCTGGGAATCGAACCCGGGCTGGCCATGTGCAAGGCAAACGCCCTACCCGCTGTGCTATTGCTCCAACCCAATATATGTTTATTATATATGCATGTTATCTACATATGTATCTAGATAGTTGATCTGTCAGAAATTAAACTCAGCACCTCACACATGTAGCCACTGAGATACATTCCTGATCTTCATGAATAAGACATTTTGGTTTTCGTTGTTGGACCACTCCTCGTGGGCCTCCGGGGTCTATACGGGGTACCAGGGATCAAACCTGGGCCAGTCACGTGCAAAGCAAGTTCCCCACCCACTGTCCTATCCTCTGTATCACTGTGACCCATAAATAATATTTTTAAAAATATGCATACTGTGGTCTGGGTGTGTAGTTTCATGGTGAAGCTGGTGCTTCCTGTTTGAAGGGCTGAGTTCGGGCTTTGACACCACCACAGATAAGGCATGGATGCCCTACTGAGATCCTGTCTTCTTTCCTTCTAGCAGGTTCTTCGCCAGAAGCCAACTCAGTGGACCCAGGGCACGTGTGACCCATGGTGGGCTCTGAGCCAGGTGCTGTCTGATCGCAGAGCCTGTGGGCCAACCCCCTCTGCTGCCTTACCCAGCCAGCAATGACGATGGGTCGATTGAAGAACCGTCTGCCCGTGTGCTTTCTACCTTCTGTGCCCTTCTTAATTCTAGTATCCGCTCTCGCCCCTGCTGAGGGAGTGACTAACAGCACTTTAAACGGCTCTGCGCCCGTCATCGTCGCCAGAACTGACCACATCATAGTCAAGGAGGGGAACAGTGCCTTGATTAACTGCAGTGTCTATGGTATCCCGGAACCACAATTCAAGTGGTACAATTCCATCGGCAAGCTGCTGAGAGAAGATGAGGAGGAGGTGGAGGAGGAAGAAGAGGAGGGAGGTAGGCTTTGAAAGTTGTGTCAGAGGTCCTAAAACTTCAAACATACATGTGAAACCAGCACCCCTGACTGTTAGTTCATATTCTGCTTAGGGGTTGACTTATGAACAGGTCATTGGAAATGACTTCTTTAGGACGCATTTGTTTTGTCTTGTTTTTCACAGGCAGGAGAGAGAAAGGTCGGTCCTTCAGGACTCAAAGTAGTAATTGATTCCTTTCCCCCACCCCCACCCCTTTGACTCAGAAGACAAAGGGCAGGCATTGAAGTCTTTTAAAAGGCCTCTTGGAATTCTGTAATATGATGCATACAAAATTTTATAGGGATGAATGTCAAATGAGTTTTCACTAAATATAAGTTCTGTTTGAGTTCTGTTTTGTTTCATGGACAGAATAAACAGTCACAGTTTTTTATTTAGTTCCAGTGTAATCCCAGGGCTAGGGATTTAAAGACCACACTTATCAAAAGACCCCCCAAGTTCTCAGCCGCTCACTCCAGATCCCTCTCGGCACCTTGGCTGAAATTTCTAGACTGTTTCCTGACACACACACACACACACACACACACACACACACACACACAGAGTCACGTGTGACAATGGATAGGGGAATTTTGGGCTTTTTATGAGATTCCATGTTCCTCAGTACCAGCTTCAGTCCTGAAAGACTTCAGCCAGAGAAGGGATTGACTGGGGGTGGGGGTGGGGGTGGTGTTTCTTGCAGGCGTGCAGCTGTGATCTTAGACCCCAAGCCTGATCATGATGGACAGGAAGGAGTTAATGGACCTTCCCAAGCATTTGCTGTGCAATGGAGCAGGAGTGGGAGGAGATGGGGTTCAAAGAAGTGTTTGGGCACAGCGACTTCCTCATCTACACTACCTTAATGTTCATCTTGTCCTTCCCATTCTACAAGCCCTTCAAGCAATGAACAGTCCTCAGGAGGTTTCTGCTCTTAGGAAACCTACATTTTTAATCTTTTTCTCTCCTTTTATCTTAATTGCTTTAAAAAGAATGGAGACTCATGCCTTATGTCTCCTTAGCAAAGTGAATAGCGTTTTCTTGCATTTTAATACTTGTGGTTCTCCTTTCTGTTCCTAAGGGTTAAGACACCCAGGATCCAGAATTTTTTGTACAGAAGGGCACTTTGGAAGGTCAGAGACAGGACAATGGGTAGGACACTTGCCTTGCCTGTAGTCAGTTTGGGTTCCATCCCCAGCATCCCATATGATCCCTATAGCACCACCAGGAATATTCCAGGTGTTGCCCCCAAACAAACAAAAGTTGGAAGAACCTTCAGGGAAATGTAATCCATATGCCATTTCACTAGCATTCTCAGGGTTCTGATGCTATTAACTGGCTGTGACTTAGCACCCTTCACTAATGACGGGGGAATATGAAAGACCATCAGCCCACAATTCCTTTGATTCTGATAGCTTCTTCTAGACTCTTAAGTCAGGAGGAAGTGACCTCATACTGGCAGGGGTAGGTAACCATGGTAATGTATACACAGTGAGATCCCAGTGCTTCATCAGACCTTTCTACAAAGCTGGGCCACTACGAGGAATATAAAGGTGACCAAACTGAGGGGAATGAGGTTCTCCTGTGTCTGTCATAGGAACCCTGCAGCTATGGTTATCCCTGGGAGTAAAAAGTTGAGGCTGAGGCTTTGAATTCCTAAGTCCTAAAGAGGAAGAGACTAGGGGGGGCAGCTCAGTCCATTGGAGCGTGGTACTAAAGCCATAACCCAGTGTTTTCAAGAGCTCACGTGATGGCTGCTTTGAAGAGGTCCTCTTAACATGGCAGGCAGACTCTGCCTCACGTGTGACCTGGATGGAGATCACATCTGGCTTACTTCCCTTTTGTTTTTTTGGGGGGTAAGGGACTCAGGTGGTCTTGTAGTAGCCCTCATCAGCCAATACCTGCCCAAACCAGCAGTAGCAGTTAAAACCTCTGGCACTAAGAGTGTGTCAGAACCAGCTCAAATTCCTCTTGGTAGCCAGCTGCCTTGCCAATAAATCAGGTCTTTTTTCAAAATCTCATAAGATGCACTGCAGATTTTTGAAAAGAACTCATCCTGGTACTTCATGTTCCAGCTCAGCTTTTGTAATCGCAGTGTATAATAATAGGAACTTCAGAACAGAAGCCTTGGAGAGGGAAATAAGAAACTCCTTGTCATAAAATATTAGGATTTTATTGCTAAAATGGCCTGTGAGAGTACTCACAGACTTTTAACTCCACATTCCCCAAAGGGTAGAATGTCCAGATTGTAACCCCAGCCTTAGATTTCAGTTCCTAGAGGTTTAAGTGGAATAGTGTTTCATTTGGAACTCAACAAAGTGGTGATTGAATATAGTATGAAAAATGATGCTGGTATCCTGGAACATTACCTAGACAGACAGTTTAGCACAGACTTCAAAACTTAAATGCTTGCCTGCCTGCCTGTCTTTCTTTCTTTCTTTCTTTCTTTTTCTTTTCACTTTTTTTGGTTTTGACACCCGGCAATGCTCAGCAGGGGATGCTCTCAGCTCTGCACTCAGGAATTACTCCTGGCCGTGCTCAGGGAGCCAGTGACATGCTGGGGATCAAACGCAGGTCAGCTGCGTGCAAGGCAAGCATCCTACCTGCTGTACTACTTCTCCACGTCTAAATTTAAGGGGTTTCTACTAGCAGTTATTACTGTTTAAGCAGCCCTGGAACGGCTAACATGTATATGTAATTCTTGTACAGTAAGCTTGATGCTTAATCCTCGGGTATACAGGTGAGAAGTGAATGGCAGAAGCTATTTATTATACTACCAGTGTGTGCCAGGCTTCTGTTTATACTTTACTGGTCATCCTTCGCACCACAGAACGTGAACAGTGTTGCTCATCTGATGTGAGGTACTGATTGGGAGCTAATGTCCTGGTGGGAAGAGGCATTTGCAACCAGCAGCAAGGCAAGCATCCTTGCCTTAAGAGAGTGTGTGCAGTGAGCAGTGTGTGGGGCATGAACACTCACAACCACTCGCCTTCAGGAGCACTGAGTTGCTCTCCGAGGCATGCTCGACCTCTCTTGATGATAAACCTGGAAAGGAATAGTTTCTTTTTGATGCTGAAAAATGTGGGATGGCTATTCTGGTCCTGCTCTTCACAGCGGGTAGGGCGTCTGCCTTGCACGCGGCCAACATGGCCGACCCGAGTTCGATTCCTCTGCCCCTCTTGGAGAGCCCGGCAAGCTACCGAGAGTATTCGATATGCCAGACACAGTAACAACAAAGTCTCCAATGGAGACGTTACTGGGCCCGCTCAAGCAAATCGACGATCAACGGGAGGGCTCTTCTTAGAAACAATGGGACATTGTCCTTTCCTTGGCCTAAGAGGTGCTGGTCTGCTTTGCTTCCCAATTGCAGAGAATTACTATCTCACTTAAAAATCCTGTCACTTCATTTCCACAGGTTTCTGGGCATTCCACAAAGGCTTGGGCATAATCTATTTTTGCAGTATCCTCTATTCTTTTTTTCTTCCCTTCCCTTCTTCCCTCTTCCCTCCCACCCTTCTTTCCTTCCACCCTTCTCCCTCCTTCCCCTCCCTCCCTTCCTCCCTTCCATTTGGAGTGGTTCACCAACCAAATTACAGAAATAACTCATGGTTCAAATAGTATGAGTAACCACAAATGGACAGTAAGTGTGCTATTTCCATTTTTCTTCTGGAGGCGAGCAGAAATCTGTCATTTTCAGAAAGTATTAAGAAAAAATCCTAGTTATTTCAGGTACTGATTATCTAGTGTATTTTTACCCTGGCTTCTTGTTTTTAGCTTAAACTGTTTAAATGCACATTAGCAACCTTTATCACACGATAAACAGCAAGCATTTCAAGGAAGTCAGCTGGTGTAGGCTTTTGTAAACACTGGCTTGTTAAGTCTGAAATTCATCCTATAAGTTGGGTTTTTTGACTTATCTGAGATTTGTTTTCCATACCTTTGTCACCAAAAACAATTAAGAATTATCTTCTAAAATAAATATGCACAGAGTAAGCTGAGCTCATTTGCTCCATGTTCACAATTGTCACTAATGCTCCTCTGGCTTTGTGAAGTTCGGAATTATAAATTCTGTAGTTAGTTTCCATTGCTCCAGTGTTTTTCTCTTTCCACTTTTGCAGCCTTTTCTAATAGACTGTGAAATGCTTTTTTTCTACTTCTGCAAGGCGCACCTGTGTCAGCCATGTTCTCAGACAGTAGTGTAGTAACATATTACCTCCCTGCTTCATTTACAGACAACAAGAGTTATCTTGAAGATGAAGTTATCATAGTTTGCTAACCTATGAAAAGATACTCACTTCTTAGTAATTTAGTTGACATTTTAAAAAATCAACTTACGGGCCACATTTGATAGTAAAAGCAGGTAGGGCACTTGTCTTGCACACAGCTGACCCAGAGTTCAATTCCTGGCATCCTGTATGGTCCCTTGAGCACTATTGGGTGTGGCCCAAAAACCAAATTAAAAAAAAGAAAACCTCATCAATAGTCAGACAGTATGAATCATTATGGAAATTCAGAAGAATCTCTTAATTATCTCTGAGTAAGTCTTTTCTTTTCCGTGTGTCTTTTGTAGGGGGTCACTTCATTGTTCAAGGACTCCCCCACAGCTGGGACAGCAGAGGTTCAGGTACCGCTGGGGATCAAACTCCAGGCTTTGTGTATGCCAGCCATCCCATTCACCTCTTTGTACTATCTTGTGGGACCCTGTGCAAGTGTTCCTGCACATCACTTTTGTGTATACTGAGCCCTTGTTATTTAATAGGCTTTTGCCACTGAAGAAACAGTGTATGTGGATGTTACAGTATTTAGGGCATAGGATGAAGTTCGCATTTGCCTAGCCCTTTCATTCTCAACTGGCATCTACTGCAGTCTCTCTCCCACCCTCACACCCCCAGAACACTGGCGGAAGCTGGAAACATTTTTTAGTTGTCTTAATTATGGGAACCTGAGAAAAGAAGAGCAGATTATGCAATTCGTATCTGGTGATGCAAC